GTCTTTTCCAACAAACTAAAAATGGCTCGCGCACCGAAAAATCAGCTATTTGCATGCTTAATTAATGCATTTGCCTAATTTGCATATGTCAGCAATATGCAAATTAGGTAAAGGCATTAATTAAGCATGCGAAAGGCTGACTTTTTTAGAACAAAATGAATAGTTAAAGGGCTTAAACTAAACCAAATTGTCTGAAATTTTGTACAGTAATTAAAAACCCGACAAATTTTTCATCTGTTAACTCAAAATATGATTGCAGCGCAAAATTTTGTGCGCGAGCCATTTTTAGTTTGTTGGAAAAGACACACCCCCCTGGTTCACAAAATTTGAGATCGAGAATTTTTTTTCAATATTTTACATTATAAGTACCCAAAGAAGCTATATATATATAAAACCAGACACAAATAGGTATTTTGCAAAATTGAGAGCAATTTCAAATCTGTTCAGTTTTTTTTGATACACCCTGTAGATCGAATTTTGGTCGCGTCGAATGCAATTAAGGGGCTAATTACATGCATGGAGAGTTTTTAGTAATTCAATTTTTCAATTTTGAGTTTTCAATTTCATGGCAGAAATTTCAGCCCGGTTTGATAATTTCAGCCCGGGCTAAAAAACAACCGTTTAAATGGCTTTATTTCGCGTGTTTGTTTCATTTTTAAATACTTTACATATAACCACAGTCTCACACAAGTCAAATAGTCGACTAATCAGCGTCTGATTACTTCAAAGAAGCGTAACGCGCTTATTGTTCTTTCAGCCGGGGGTAACATTTCAGCCCGAGTTGATGATAAATATAGCTCTAACTAAACTCAGCCCGGGATGAAACTGCTCGTTTAATCGTGATGCAATTTCAACTCGTTTAACCCGACTGAAATTCAGCCCGGGCTGAAAACTCTCCATGTAATCAGCCCCTAAGACAAGAGATAATGAGATGATAAACCTCATTAAGCTTCATTATCGATTGCTTGAATTGCATCCGACGCGACCAAATTCGACGTATAAAACAAGCCTTAGATATGATAAAACACGACTACAAGTGTTTCGAATAGCTTCAAACACGACTACAGTATAGATGTTGTCTCATTAGTATTCTTTATACAAAGAAAACGAATTAGGATGGACTTTTATATAAAGAATACTAATGCATGAAGATGAGTTTTTTCAGGTATAAAGCCTCACGTGACATATTGTGGTTGACACGATTTGCCAATGAACTTATGAATATTAATGTTTGAACTGATATTATTTTTTATTGTGTCAAAGTACTATCTTTTGTACCAAGCAAGGTCGGTACTGCTCTTTGAAGAAGTGTGTTTACATTTTTCTGTTGACGTTTATTGTTTTTACGGATGAAATTTGTTTTAAATCCGATGATGCATGGTTACAACTAACAGCTAACGAGCGTTCCTCTCTTCTCTGCTTCTGAGACTCACCAAAACAAACAGAAGTGGAACATGCCGCCCGAGTTCCGTTCATCGGTGACCATCCTTCCCTGGTGGTCATCCTGTCATGAATAGCGAACACTGATTGGTCAAATTGCATTATAACGACTGCATATAACGACAGCGAAGTAAACAAACATTTCTTGCAAATATATTTCCTTTTTTGCAAGATTTGGTAAAGTCTTTTTGTTTTAATATTACTTAGGACAACAAACTGGAAAACTTTGAAATAACGCCATGTCAACAAAAGAAACTCTTTGAAATCACTTACAAATCAGTGGAGAAGGATGTACGAAGAATCGTGAACGAGAAAGATGTCGTAGAACTTTACGGTAATACCAACTGGAACCAACTACATCTTGCCATTAAGGAAGTGCTTATTGACTTACACTTTCGCGGAGATTACACGCCAGCAACACGGAAGATAATACAACAGGCAGTCGCTGATAATAAGTTTGGAAAATTCTTCGACCTTATGATAGACCGAAAGAACTGGAAGAACGTTCCGAAAGATAGGTTTGAGAGACGTGTTGCATATCTACTATTTCAGTAGTAATATCAGCAGTAATCAAAGTAGGGCATGCATGATTAAAAAAACTGTGTAGCTTCATATAGAACATCAGGAACATTTATTTAGGTTAGTGGTTATTCATCACGCAGTAATCAGTTCCGATTTGGGGCAAGTAGAACTTTGCCAGAATCTGTTTTCAGTCACTCGTAATTAGTTTTCGTGGCTTTTCCAGCTGTTTTGGGACACGTCGCGGCTGTGCATCGATCGCCTCGAAAAAACTGGACAGTGATGTAATTAAGTTTATCGTTTTCACAATTGTTATTTAGTTAGTTATACGTAGTTTTGGTTGTATTAGTTGTTTTTGAAACCCATGCATGTAGACAGTTAAGAGTAAACAGGTATTCAATAAAACTTTACATTTAGAACAACTGTTTCTAGCAACGTTTAAATACGGTTTAATGCAAATGGAGACAAACCTAAAACAGATTTGGGTTTACTACGATAGAACTCTCAAAGTCAACAGGTCACGTTACTTGGTCTGCAGGATGAAAAACCAGTGACATGCAATCCAGACATCATTTGCGAGGGAGTACCAGTATTTGTACTGGGGAGTTTGGGAACGAAAAGAAAATGGTTGGGTTAAAAATCACATTTCGTAAGAGTGGGCAAATTATTTTCCGTCCGCCGCCTAATTTTTTCCTTCCGTACGCTTATGAAAATTAAACCCTATATTAAGGCCTAGAACGCATGCGCAACATGATTTTGGAGAGTTTCTCTGCGAAATATTTCTTTTCGCCGGGTAGTTGAATTCGTTTCCACTCCGTTGCGAAATGGAAATAACGAAGCCAATCAAATGCTTGTGTTTTGTATGACAAAATAGCGAAGCCAATCAAATGCTTGTGTTTTGGATGACAAAATAGAGAAGCCAATCAAATGCTTGTGTTTTGGCGAATTTTTTCTCTACAGTGGAAATCACTACGAGAGAAAATTTTCGCACAAATGTGTTTTCGCTCGTTGTGGAATTAGACCTTTATAAGCCTTTTTCATTATAATTAAGCTTTTATTATAAGTCCGCGATTACTGATTAACTTCAGACCTCGCTAATGCTTTCGTTTGCCCGGAATGAGTATCGTCGTCCCGAACTGACCCCTGGAACGGAGCTACGCGCCGTTGGCTCGGGGATTGAACAAAATAACGCCACTCAGGGCATGAGTCACCTGGACGTCTTGAAGGAGTTGTAGAGATATTTGAAAAGGATAATGTCTTGAAGGAAAGAAAACCTGTGGCCTTATGTACGATCAAACGAGAACCATTCTAATCCTTCCATATGCGTCTGGAATATACAATTACTTTATGGTTTCCGTGTTTGGATGGCCTGATCCAAACACGAGGGAATGTTGCGAGAGTTAGAAAAGCGCGCAAAATTCCCAAGTGTTTGGATCAAGCCATCCAAACACCGAAACCATAAAGTAATTGTTTTATAAAATAACAACTTTCCATTAAAAAACTTTCACTTTAAATTTCCATGTTTGGATGGTCCGATCCAAACACAGGTTTCGACCAATCAGAGCACGCGTTATATACATGTTATTTTATAAATTGCCTTTCTAGTGCAGTTCTTGGCAATATGTTGTAACACAATTAGGAAAATAACGGAAAGTATAACAAGAAGTGACAACATCGTTTTTATAAGAAAATGTTATCATTAGGAGTAAAATGGCGCTAATTGTGGCCATCAGAACACTAGTTGCGTAAACGAAGTTATATTTAACAATTATACCATGAGCTCGAGTCGTATATGAGCTGATAGCCGACGAGGTGCGTAGCACCGAGTCGGCTATCAGCCATATACGACGAGAGCGAATGGTATAATTGTTTTATAATATAGTCTAATATAGCCATTAACTGAAGCAGTAATTAATTATTATTCACTGTTACAATGTGTTGACAATCTTTTCGGCCAAATACCGCTTGAAAATTTGAAATACTTTTGTTTTACAACTCGAAGACGAAGTGAAAGAAATGGTTTTAGAACCTCTATATCTCACAGGAAAGCTCAGATATATTATACAGATGTTTGGTACTATAGTAAATGCTTGTTGACTGCAAATTCATTTGTCGTTCATTGCAAACTTTTCTGAACAATTTATATTCTCAATGAACATGTTTTTTCGCTGTTGTTTCGGTATTAATTCTTTAAAAAACTTGCATTTAAACTAATTTCTACGTAATAAATGTATTTTGCTAACCTGTCAAATTTTTTTTGAGAGTTTTTCCTTGTAATATTATTATTCTCAAAGCGAATATTTTCCTTTTTCTGCTTCGCAAAACTCATTTAGTTTTTGGACCGCCATCTTGTTTTTCGCTACTCGCCGTATATGAGCTGATATACGGCGAGTAATTCAACCAATCAGATTGCAGAACAGCTCATATACGGTGGATGACTATATTATAATATTGAATGTTCAAGGAAATGAATCTTCATCATCGTCTGCCATTTCCTTTGCGAGTTCAAGATCTTGTTTTTCCCGCTCTCTCTGCTCCTACAATACAACATTCTTTGTTTTAACGAATGTACCATACAATAATTCATAACCCATTGCACCTCACCTCAACAGACCCCGCTTTATCTCACAACTCCTCACTGTCCCCCAACCGAGTGAGATGCCAATAAAATCTTGATGTTTTACAAGATCCTATCTTATTTTTCACCCTGCTCGGTTTCCTTTGTTCTTATCGGGGAATATATTCAATATTCCCCTCCAATCAATTTCCGTTTAATAATCCCTCTAATATTCACCTGCAATAAATCACATATCTCCTCGTTGCCACAAAATAACCTATACTTATTCCACCTTATCTGACCTTCGCCTAATATCCCACCTAATCACACCCCAAGATCTGATCCCCTTGACCAGATCTGACCTCAATTATATAATCAATCCCGCTTTATTTCACCTCTCCTCACTGTCCCCCAATCGAGTGGGATGTTTCACAAAATCCTATTTATTCCACCTTATCTGACTTTCGCGTAATATCCCACCTAATCACACCCCAACTGATCTTTCTTGACCAGACCTGATTTTATCTCAATTCACCAGACATACCTATAACCTCATCTCATGTCACTCCAACTTACTTCACCTGACTTGATCTTACAGTATGTAATCTCACTTGACCTGACCTTATACCTCATCAATACCTAAACTCACCTAACCTAACTAGAGTATTAAATATGAATCTTATTATCATCTCACCTGATGACATCAGACGCCCGAATTAACTACACGCGTAAAGACGCTGAGCCCACTGTTTAACAGGATTGAACAATGTTTTGCTGCCCACGTTGTTCACACTTGTCAACAATATTGAACAATATTGTTGAGCCTGAATCGGGCGTAACAATATTATTCAATATTGTTAACAACTATGAATAATGTGGGCAGCAAAACATTGTTCAATCCCGTTTTCATCTATATTGCAACAACCTGATCGTTTTTAGCCGTGCAGATCTCAAATCTCCTCTCCTTAACTTATGTACGTTATTAACTCTCACTAGCGGACGTCATCTGACCCTAACCACTGAGTCTAACCACTGTAGCCTGACCTTAACTTGTCTGGCTTTCTCTCTATTCACAGTGCAGCCCAGAACTCACCACACGTTGCCACTCCCTTATCTGACCTCATCTCACCGCAATGGACTACATCTGACCCAATATCACCTTGCACCTGTCCTGATCTTACCCTAAATGACTAGACCTCACCCTGCCTGGTATTAGCGAACTTAATTTAGCAAGGCTTAATCTAGTACGGAGACATGACAAGGACGACAAGAAACAGCCTTAATAAATTTTACACTTTCAAAATTGTAAAGAACTACTTTCATTGAGAACTTCGACTGCAACGACGGCGGCTATTTTCAATAACATATTAACAGAGGCGCCGGAATATCGATAATTGCGGGGGCAGATATTCATATATTCGTGTTCAGACTGTAAAAACAATGATTTAAAAAGAATATCCCCCCCCCCCCCCAATTATCGATATTCCGGCGCCTCTGCATATTAAATTTCAAGCTGCATGGGACAAGTGCTATTTTCAACTGGGGCCTAGAACTTTTCTTAATCATTAATCCCGTTTTAACCTCAATCCTCATAACTCTCAATCCTGAAAGTGAAACTGTATTATTTTTCATACGATGGATAGTAGACAACAGGTTTTCTTCTGCAATCTTTTTTGTTCAACGAGTTTATTGAGTTTATTTGCCGTCCCCGTCGCGTTCCCGTTCTACATGCTTAAGGTCGCTATATTGTCTCCATTTACATCACATATGCTCACCTGACCAGCTAGATCCGAACTTATCACACTTTCTTAACCTTGTCTTACTTTAACGCAGGCTAAACCTTACCCGATCTTATCTGACGTCAATGGAAATGACTTCATCTCGTCTCATTTCACCTGAAGACACCGCACCTTACCCTACCTCATCTAACTTCACTTTAGATGAGCTAAACACACCACATGGGGCTTCGGTGGCGACGTCGATAGCGCCGCACTTGCCTTTCACCTCTAAGGTCGCAGGTTCAAATCTCAATGAGAATTTCTCAATTTGACTCGTACCCAGCACCCATGTTAAAAAGTGAAAGTCAACGCTCTGCCCAAAGTCGTGGGTTTTCTCTGGGTACTCCGGTTTCCTCCCACAGGGAAAGTTGACAGGGTGGGTTAGGCACATAGGTCAGGGCGCAGATCATTAATGAGGTATGGACTAATAGCAGCTGCTTAAAGCGCCATTTGTAAAGCTCGCAGTCTACCTCGGTCTGCTTCACGCCAGTTCCAGCTTTAATGTAACCAGTCACTGAAAAACTCTGATATAGGGAGCGTGCTGAGTAATATATGTAATCTCACCTAACCTGTCCTACTCTGACATCACCTCATTTAACTCAACCACGCCTCACTTGACCTATGTCTTCCCTAATTATACCTCTGAGCAACACAATTTAAAGTGCTTTTGCTTCATATAATGTGGCTGTGTGATACCATAGTTAATAGAGGAGATGGTTTGGAAACTCATTAGCATTAGAATAAACCTTACTATCTATGTTTTTGTTCAGGTTTATGCAAAAATGTGGCCTTTCATCGTCACGTGCGTATTGTATTTTTGCTCAACCAGCCAATAGCAACGGTTTTGTCCATCCATGACTTTAACAATAGGACATTTTGAACATTCCTATTGGTTGACTTGAGAAAAATACAATACGGCACGTGACGATGAAAGACAACATTTTTGCACAAACCTGAACAACATAGATAATGAGGTTTATTGTAATTTTATTGTAATGCTAACGAGTTTCCAAACCATCTCCTCTATTAACTATGGTGATAGGCAACCAGATATGACATCACAGCTGTTTACGCCTGCAGCCTGGTTTAACTAAATGAATGCAAAGTCCAGTCGAATTGAATTAAAATCCATCTAGTCCTGCTTACTCTAATGCTTTAAAACCCTGATTAGTAACGAATGTGTCATACTTCATGAAAAGATTCTAAATATTTATTGTATGACTTCGCTGGAAATCGCATAGCCTAAAAGGGAAGGTTATTATAATAACTAGAAAATACATGCATGCAGAAACCCTCGCCTTGCTGACAAAACCGTTGTATTTTCCGAACATGAAGTATCTAAGTAGTTGTCATGGTAACACGATAATTTTTTAAGAATATTCTTACAAATGAAAATCGCCTAAAAATATCACTTTTAATTACAAAATTATCAATTTCCCAACATATATATGTTAGGTATGTAATTATACGTAATACAAGCTTCAATTTAAGGTAAAACTCAACCACAAACAATTCACAAAACGTTTTAAAGTGTTCTTTATAAAACTAAACTGCCTTTAACTATTAAATGGCTTTATCGATAAACTTTGAGTTTGCAATAAAATGATTTCAAATTCTCGCTTGCAAATAACTTTGCTTTATTTTTTATTTAAAAAATTCAATATAATAAAAAAGGGAATCAATATTAAAGATACACTGAAATTATATGCTGTCTTGTTTAGTTGTTTCATATACGCAAAGGCCGTCGGGTTTTAAAGCCATTATAAAATCAATATTTAAAACAAACTTACCTTCGTTAACGTCGGCTCCCTTCTTTTAGCTGATTCTTTCGCCCTTTCTTTCTTGAAATTTACAAAATCTTGCAGAAATACGAGCAAAAATGAAATATATTTGCAAGAAATTTATCAATCATCAAATCAAGAAATGTTTGCTATTTCGCTGTCGTCATGCAGTCGTTATAATGCAAACTTTAAATTGGACCAATCAGTGTCCGTTATTCATGACAATCCGCCATGTTTTTGAGATCAGTGAGGATGACCACCCATCGTTGGTGACCGACGCCCGCGCTCATTGATGAACTTTAGACTTCGCTAATGCTTTCGTTTCCCCGGGTGTAAATAGCCGGGGGGGGGATTAGTACCCTCGCACGGCGCTTCCCGCCGCCGGCTCGGGGAAAATGTACAAAACAATGTAGTACATTTACACTTTGAGTCCAATAAATAGCTTAATGCGAAGAAACAACTATTTGGTTTCTTATTATGTTCTTTTTGAAAAGTACAAACTCTTTTTAACGGAAAATAAAGGTCAACAAAAGCGTGTCCCATTTATGGTAATTCCTGCATTTTGATGGCGAGTTAATATATTCTTTTTGCTGTACAATGAAGCGATCATCCAATGTCAAGAATTCAACCACTCAACCGCGATATTTAAGTATGTATCATTTTCAACATCACTTGGGATATGATTGTAAAACTCTTTGAAACACAGCGGTCGTTTTAACCATATTCACTTTATTTAGCAACGAACTCACCTTTACAGATTGGTATACTAAATATCCAAACAAAAGTAATTCTTTGGTGAAAAGCCGCTTGTGGCTCGTTGGTCGAGTAGATGTCGGTAATTTCAGTCCTAAACATTGAATACAAAAAATGGCATATAGTTTGTATATACTGTACAACATGGCTACTTTTCCTGACACTATACGGATGAATAGCGACATATTTTAATGCTTTCATGATCATTTTGCACGATTCACACTTTTGGAAATCAGTAGACCCATTTCAGACGGCGCTCCGTTGTATTGGCCAAATTAACATGTAATTGACGAAATACTGGCGACGAGTTCGGATAATCGGTGACTCCTAGTACAGCTGGCTTCATGCAGCGACATATAAAAATACAAGGTAGTTGTATCCCCATCAATAGAGAGTTTAAGTTCGACTTCTGATACCAATACCGATACTATAACAACTTGTCATGCACATGCTCTCTGCTCGCAAGAAGCACGAGGACAAGCGTATTGGAAGTCACCACTACCGAAGTCGGCCTTGAATTGGAAGTCGGGGGAATTGTAAGATAAACTCATATAAATCGGATATTTCATAATTTTTACGATAAACATGTAAACTATTTGTTTATTAGCATCGCCTGAGTCATGTTTTAATCGGAATTTTAGCTCAGCTGCCGTTTAGTATACCACACATTTTCGGTGACGCTTATTGTGTTCTATTAGAACTGATGAGATCGGAAGTGAAAACATTGGTATCGGTATTGGAAGTCGAACTTAGGCCCCGTTTACACTATACCGGCTTGCTATCGGAGTGGGTCAAATTTTGTAGGTATCAAAGGCTGTGAAGATTTTTAAACTCAGAGACCCAAATAAACATGCCAATTCTGTCAAACTAATAAGCATTTGCTACTAACCATTGCTCCTTAACGGCAAAAGAAGATGTTGTGACGAGCGAATCCGGAATAGTGTAAACAAGGACTTAAACTCTCTAATCTTATTATTGGTACTACCTACATTGGCACAGACCATGACGTTGGAGCGAGATCGATTCATTCGACTCTTCACCCATGCGCCAAACCACAGTTTTCTATTAACTGTGGCCAAACCTAACTCAAAGTCTACTTTAATTAATTGTACTTTAATTAAGATCGGTATGATGGTCACCTTTGGCAACAACCAAATTCTGCTCGAAAATGTAAAGATAATGCATTTGCGGGCTAGTCTATGACTGACTGGTCCGACTACCGCCATGCAAGAAATTGTTATAATAAACTTGTGAAAGATACAATCCGCAGTCATTTTCAAAATAAATTACACAATAACCAAGGTGATCTTAAAAAAACCTGGAAAACGATTAATGAGTTAATTAATAAGTCTAAAAACGAGAATACAGTTCTAGGAGTAAGAATTGATTCTGTTGAAATTACTGATCCGATAAACATCTCAAATGCATTTAATAAGCATTTTGTTGAAATGGGAGATAAACTTTCGAATGATATACCTCAATCAAATGTAACTCCTGAAAGTTATCTTAGCGACGTTCAAAATTCAGTAAATCAGTTAACTTGTTTTAGAGAAATTACAGAACCAGAAATATTAGGTTTACTTCAGGGATTGGTTGCCTCTAAAGCATCCGGCATCGATGGAATTTCAGCCAAAATTTTGAAAATCGCAGCTCCATCAATTACTCCATCCATTGTATCAATTTTTAATCAATCAATCGCAACTGGTATATTCCCATCTGATTGGAAAGTCGCTAGGGTAGCTCCAATACACAAAACAGGAGCTAAGCACGATATGGAAAATTACAGACCGATATCTGTTATTTCAATTATAGCGAAGATCATGAAGAAACTGATACATAATCAATTATATGACTATCTTATAGCTTCAAACCTACTAACAAATTCCCAACACGGCTTTAGACCATGTCATTCAACAACCACAGCTCTATTAGATATTACTAATAGATGGTACCAAAACATGGACGTAGGACAATTAAATGGAGTTGTATTTTTAGATTTAAAAAAGGCCTTTGATACTGTTGACCACAACATTCTTCCAAAAAAATTAAAAATTGATGGCATAAAAGGCATGGCACTCTGTTGGTTGCGATCATATCTATCAGACAGAATCCAATATTGTCAAATAAATGGTCACCTGTCAGACCCCCTAACCGTGAAGACCGGAATACCACAAGGCTCGGGATTAGGCCCATTATTGTTTTTGATCTATATTAATGATTTTCCAAAATGTTTAAGACACACTAGACCAGATATGTTTGCCGATGACACCCAAATTGCAACATCTAATAGCGATATCAATGTGATCTTAGAGAATCTTAACACAGATTTAATAAATGTTTCCACTTGGATGTCAGCTAATAAATTAACTTTGAACAATAAAAAAAACGGAGTTCATGGTTATAGGTAGCAATAAGCGACTTGGCCAAATAGTCCAAGAACCCTCAATTTGTGTGAGAGGCAAAGAGATTAAAAAGGTTAATACAACCAAGTCGCTTGGCCTAATGATTGATGATACTTTATGCTGGTCGGCCCAAGTTGAAAAAATTACAAAAAAAGTTAACTCGGGACTCAGCATTATTAGAAGACTGCGGGATATTGTTGATTATAATACTTTAATAACTGTTTATAAATCAATAATCCAACCACACTTTGATTATTGCTCACAAGTTTGGGGTTGCCTAGGAAAGGTTTTATCAGATAAACTTCAGCGTCTCCAAAATAGAGCGTTTCGTATTATTACCCGTGAAGGATATGAAACGCGATCAAAAGATATTCTAATCAGGGCAGGATTTTCAGATCTGCAAACAAGAAGGGAACAACAACTTGCTACATTAATGTATAAGATTAAACATAAAATGCTTCCAAACTACCTGCAGGATATTTTCATCAATACGCAAGAAGTCCATAATCATAACACTAGGCATAGTGAATTTAATTATACATTACCAATGCCAAATACTAATGCTATGAAAAAATCATTGGCCTACAGAGGTGCAGAGACTTGGAATGCTCTCCCAATTGACCTGAAGTCGTTAGGAAGTATAGCAACTTTTAAGAGTGGGGTAAAACAATGCCGATTGATATAATGTTAAGTTATAAAATTTTTTTATATTTATAGTAGTTAGCACACGGCCTATTGGAAGATCACTTTTTTCTGGTTGTTTTTGTAAATAATATATTTTTAATATAATGTGAAATAGTACCGTGTTTAAATAAAGTTGAAGTTGAATGCTGATAATTAGCTTTACTAGCCCGAGTAAAAAGCTAATTATCAGCATGTCGCTGTGATACAGTATACCTCTAATTTCCAATGTTACCATGCGAATGGCGCACTGGCCTATTCGCGGTGCAACTCTAATTATATTGCCCATAACAAATTAACAATGCGATTATATATCTCTAATTTGGACTATGTTTATCACTTATGAGAACCAACTTGCACAAGTACTCCATAGATTTGAAATACATCCCGTGATACTTCCAGGTTAATGACATCTTTTCCCAGTGGCATAGCCAGAACGATAATGGGGGGGGGGTCATATTCATATATTCGTGTTCTGCTTTATTAATTTCTTTTGAAATCAATTCTTTTTATGGTATGTGAACACGGATATATGAATATGCCCCCCCCCCCCTAAATTATCGTTCTGGTTATGCCACTGTCTTTTCCTTTGCAGCGACGTGCAGGCGCAGTGTGAGAACGATGTTGGCATGTTAGACGAGGTCTCCAGTATCGGCCCAAGTTGTACCGGTGGTTTGGGCATACTGTCATAGAGCGTATTTCTTCGCTTGATATTTCATGTAAAAATTCCGCTCTTCTCAAAATCAGCTCGCGCTCGCTAAAATAAGATCTCGACAAACTGCAACTTGAAAGATGGTTTTGAATGTTCTCATCACAATCTTCTAAGCGTCTAATACCCGATTCACCCCGACACCCTCCGCATACAGTTGAACCGATAGCATTAAAAGAACACAGATTATCCATACTAACTCTCAAATTTTGCAGCAATATAATTCAAAGATCAACTTCGCAGAAAGGTTCCAGAACTAAACTTCGCACATTTATAGACTTTTCGAACTAAGCAATAGTTTAGTGTGCTGCAACGCAAACTCTAAATCACACTAAAAAAAGTAAATATAGCATGTGCCACATACAGAATTCGCGTTGCACGCGGGCTTTTCCCCGAGTAGCATATTAATTTGGTCAAGTTGTTTATTTTAACATGCCTATATTTACTTTTTTTAG